TCTATTTATTCGCACCCCAAACATTATTTATTGAAGTATCATCTCAACCAAGTCCTGGCCAACCCGACAGCACACAGTATAGCAGTGTCGATATGTCTTTCTGCACTACAGTCACAGGTGAATTTCCTTGTTTCTACACGGTTTCAATGACTCTTGAAGTGTTCCTGTATTTAGCAGCATTCGTATTTTGACAGGTTCAAGTGATGACACATTGGCAGCGTTAGAAGCACCACTTAGACGAGTATCAAATACTAATCATCGCCAGTCGAGCTGCGGTACCTTCTTGCCCTTTCACATCATTTGGGCTGGTGTCAGAGTCCGCGATCCGTCGCGCGAATCGCGAAAATCGCGAGTCCCCCATTTGAACATTTGAAACACCAATCGCGAAAACGGTAGAATCATGAACAGTCGTCATTCAATCATCACCATCAAGCAGCAATGTTGGTCGCGGCACTTATGATTTCTGCGACCAATCGCGCGACGAATCGAACTCTGACACCAGCCAAAGAGTTCTTCAAAGATTACAGATGGTGGCAAATGAAATATTATAGTTCGTTGATTAAGTTATACTTAGGCATCGCAGATTCAACGGTAGACATTTCGAGACGTACCACGAATGACACGGTATGTTTAATGTGCAACAATCTGTATTTTCATCTTTTACTAATATTAATTCATCTTGTTTCAAGCTTGCATGTCTGAATGTCGGACCTGGTCAAGTTTTTCATGGTTTGCAAACTCCACGCTGTTCCCAGAGTAGCTCCAATAAGGTTTGCGGAAGTTGCTCCTTTCTGATTCGATGATTGATCAATTTGTCTGTCTTATTTCAGTCCACCGTTTCCACTTTTGACGACGATACTGCACTTATTCTCGAAACGGGAAATGCGTTCGGAAATGAAGGGTTGAACCAGGTACGGAATTCCTAGAATAAACCGATTTGACAGAATCCTGATAAATAAGCTCTTCCTTTTCAGCAACGTAACAATGTCTCGAATACTTCTTCATTTATGTCAGAGTCTGCCGATGGTGGCGACACTATGAGAGTTTTCGAGTGTTTGGTTAGTGGAGATGATTTATATTTGTCTCACTGGAGAGTCACTTTGTCTTCCGCCATTCAGATGCAGAAAGCAGGGGCCGGAGATTTCGAAGAACATGATCGATCGCACGAAATGCAAATTGCTGCGACGGTATTACTTCACATTTTTCATTTGAAATATGGCTAGTCGTTGCTGTGACCCGCCAGATTAGACTACCAAATACGTTCACTATTAATGATCCTTGATCTTTTGAGACAGCGGGATTATCTTCAAGTCGAAGTGTATTCTAGCATGGATGAGGTTGGGAAGCAAGGTTGTGAATTTAGTGTGAAGGTAAATTGTGGTAATCGGTTAGTGATTCTTGTTGATGTTGTCAAGTTGGTTGGTAGGCAACAAGCTCGACTGTCTGAACGTCGGTTAGAGTGCGCTTTTCTCCTGAAACGCTGTAAGGGTACCGTCTTACTGATTATTGAAATGACTTGCCCGTCAAGTAATTGATAAGGCGTTGTACTGTTGTCTCTCAATTCTCAAACTCAACATCTCCATATCCTATGGCTCTATAGTACTGATCGTACTCTTCCAGTTGTTTAACCTGTTCAGGCAAACACCTCGTTGAACTCTACGAATATGGAAGTGACGGATCTGATTTTGGAAGAGTCTGTTGATGTGGTGCGTCGCATTGTGAGTGATATGCTCATTTTTTTCCTTTTTTTTTCTTGTTTTTTCCTATGGTATACTCAAGGGTGTCAGTAATTTTGCGCATGTGCGTGCTTAGTGTTATCTATACCCTTTTTCTTGAACTAATCTGGACTATCTGCTGATTCGATGGTCTAGACTTATCGCTGGGCTTGAAGGTTATTAGAAGAGTTGTAAATGCTTCCGCTTTTTGTTAGAGAATATGGTGAATCAATGAAATGTTGGTAAATACATATAATTTATCGTTTCAATCTCATTTGTCTTGATAAGGTGAGATCGTTTAATGGCCCTATAAAGACTATTCAGCACAGTTTGATCCATACGAAATATCTTCCTTGCACGAAACTCATTGGATGACTTTGAATTCTTCCTCATTGATTGATAACTCCTTGATGAAGAACTCGTAAGCTGTTTGTATTGTCTTATTAAGAGCGGCTCTGTTAAATTCGGTGAAATGTAGCATTTGCGCTAAGGACTACCTAGAATCGCTCCAGAATTGTGCATTTTCGTATTGTTTTGTTTCTTCTTAGATAGGTTTCTTCTTTCTCATCCCTTTTTTTGAAAATCTGCTAATTATTAACGCGTGAGACCCAACACCTGGAAGGCTAATTTGCAACTTGTCAGAATTTTTATTCAAATTATGCCAGTGTAGAAACAATGAGTTCATTTTCGAAAAGGTGACATATATTGCATTGGCAAAAACCGCTCGCACAAAGGCACCAAATCGTTCAATGTACTTCATCTGTATTGTAACGAATGATGTATCCGACTGAACTTTCCGAATTTTAATCTTGCGCCAAAAAATGAGGATGTTTCCAATGCTTCCTCTAAAATGGCATAGCTGACAGCTTGTCAGCTACAGACAGAAAAGGCTCCATGAATGTTGCTGTTCAGATACAGAATTATGTATTTGCTCACTTTTAATGAGGAGAATTTCAGGCGCATGCGCATCAAAGGAGTGACGAAAGCACACCGTCAACAGAAGCAGTTAATCAAAATTCAACGGTAACTTCCAATTTTTATTGATCATTTCCAATTTCTTTTGGTAAGTAGCTTTAGTAGCAGAATGCATAGAAAAGAACTGATCTGCAAGATTCCTCTGTTTTAGTTTGTTGTCGAGAGCCCGCACCAAAATGCTGCACTCGGCGACCACGTCGCAGATGAGCTCATGCAAGTACGTAAAACGTTACATGAATTTATATATTACCTGTTAACAATAATCCTTTTTCAGAGGTGTGTTGTTGCCATGGATATTGGCAATGAGACAATCAATCTTGTCACTTCTGAGACATCTTTCTGCGCTGGCGATAAACTTAATACCTCTCAAATTTGTTCTACTCATCCCATCGATCGGAACGAAGCCAGATGTTGTCTACTGGTGGTGACGGTTTTCAGTGTCCAAATACTCCTGCAAACACCACAATTACTCTCGAAACTGAAACGCGAACAACTGCTACCAAGGTTGGTGCTTTGCTAGCTTATGCTCGTCTCTACGTGCGGTATTGGGAAAGTATACGTATTAGACGTGAGTTGACGACATTATAGTTACGATCTGACGCTTCAATGTGTCTTGCGAGAGAGCTATCTATCGATGCTCAGTCGTTGCTGATAGTTTTTGTGAGGGTATTTGAAGCATGGGATGTGCTAGTGGTTTGTTGATAGGATAAGCGAGATTAAACTACAGGGCGAGGCTGCAGCTGCTTCCTGTTATGAAAAAAGCTGTTTCGGAGTTGATGCTACATTCTCGAGAGAAATGAAGGTAGCCCCGCCGGAGACCCGGCATCACCCACCACGCTTGGTACTGCGAGACTTCATACATTTTAAGCGCAGTCCAAAGTGCTGTGTCATTCTTTGTCCACGTGGATATGCAAACATATCTCGGTATTGCGGATGTTTCCGTGGTGAATCTGCATCCACCAGTTGACCTTAATCACCTAGTGATCTTTGCCCTGATGTTATTACCATTCTCATCAAAATGTTCCGAGCTAAAGGAAGTCTGAAGGAGGCGACAGTAAGGGGCAAAGACGTTGGTTAGTTCTATTCGGTGGTGAATCCTCTGGCATTCTACCGCATTTCGAATACCTAATGGCATTTCGAATTGCGACTGGCTCCATTCATTGAATTACAAGTCTAGCCGATGTTATAAGCCACGATTTCATTCATAACCCCTCAGACATGCTCTGAACCATATTAGCTGAAACAGAGATGGTGGGTTGGTAGGGCTAGTCGCCGCCTAGTCCAGGATTTGACGCTTGCACCGTGCGCGTGATTAATGGCGCCACTTGCCACTATAGCACTTCTGCCCTTGCTATATTGTTATTGTTCAATAATATAAAACCAATTAAAGACTCGCTCTTTGAATCAACTAATCAAATGTGTTCTAGGATAAGACTGGAACAATCAACTTGTTTACAACGCCAGATAAGTCGATGGTTTCAATGAGACAAGAGGTAAGGTCAATGTTAAATGTGCTCAAAAAACTGTTTCTATTGATGATGCGGAAAAGGTGGTATAGTAGAAGTAATTGGAACGTTGTATTCCGTAGTTGCAAACAGGGTTTGCATTTTGGAACGACAGCTACCTTGAGTTATTAGTCTTCATTGTCAAGCCATTTGTGTGTATCGGCTGCATATACCAGTTTTTATCTAAGTTTTTAATATACTTTTTGTGTGATGCATAACCTCCGCGTCAAATCCTTTCACGAATGCCTTTGATGCATGTGAATTTCGAAATCCCGCATACTTGTGGTCGCATTCCCAGGAAAGGATTGAAATCGATTTTACTGGTTTTTTGTTATTTCATGGCTCATAAATTTGCGTTCCTTAATATTCTCCGACTTTTACATTTCGTAACTCAATCACCTAGTGACTAATGTGATGAGTAGCCTCCAACATCGTACTGCAGAATAAGTCAGCCGAAAATGTCCCTACACGTGGCGCTCGAAGTCGCTGTATCTCTATCCTTCCGTTTCGATACGATAATAGGCCACTCAATCTATATACCGTAATTGCAAGGAGGCATCTACTAGTAGCGTCGTGGTGCTGTTATTTTCCCCTCAATTCTAATCACTAATGAAAACCGTAAGGCAAGCATGATCGCATTTCTGTGAGTTTTGCAACGACTCATTAATAAAAAAAAAGGCGAACCACGCCTTTTTTGCCCTCGAGTGCACACTTTTTCTCATGTTTGAGTCCTTTTTTTGCAATTTTTCCTCTGCTCTCTGTGATTCATTTATTGCCGTCGTTTTTGAATTTTGGACGCTCGCGTCATCAGATCGTGATAAATCTCGGACCCGAAGTAAGAAGGAGAAAAAATATCAAAAAGTAATTGTAGTCTCTGCACAGAGAAATGGATGGCTGAGGCGCTAAGTTAGAACCAAGCATGTGAGCGAAAAAAAAAACAACACAGAAAGTTTTAAAATTAGGTTGACGTTAAGTATTCAGGTAGGTAGAAAACAGAAAAAGGCTGAAGATCCCACTTGAAAGAAAATTTATTTCCTGGGCCCTCCCTTCTCTTGCCTCCCGTTGATCACGGCCATGTTCATTGTTGGCCCTGAGGCAGTCGAAAGTTGCTGGTATTGGTATGAGTTTTTTGTGGTTCCCGGGAGGAATATCATTACGTACGTCAGCTGGACCCTTAAGTCATTTTCCAGGGTGAGTACGCGCTCAAAAGAGTCAGGTTTTCAAACAAAAATTGAGCTTGCCAGCTCAAAAAACTTTCAAGAAAATTTTTACAGAAATTGCTTCATTTTTCATTGTTTTATTTATTTACATATTCTCACGTGTATACTTTGTGCATTCAGGATTCGGTACTACTGAAGTCTCGTGTAAAGTCCTGCACATTTGTCGACTGTTACGACGCAGGACGTTACTGAACCAGATTTGGAAATCCAGCGAAGAGCAGAAGTATCGTGCTATCCTGTTGAAGATCACTTTGCTAGCGATGCATTGCTACAAAGCAAGGTTGATTTTCCTGTTATTCTGTGTCTAATGTTTTTGTAATGATATAATGTTCAGATTGCTGACCGCTCAGATGCATCTGAAGTTAACACTGCCTTAGCACGTGATGAGGACATGGATGTGACTGTTGTGGTCAGTTGACCCCTTTGATTTGAATCTTTGTGTGTTGTGACGTTAGAATGACGAACCTTCATTCAGGACGAGAAAAACTCGCTATTGCAAGATGTTGCTTCGAGCACAGTCCCTCATGACTCTATGGAGGATGTGCAGGTGCTTCCTGTTTCTCAATATTTGGGCTGTGCGAACCAATCTTTCGATGTTATCTGCTTAAATAGATATGTATTGCGACGCCGGTCTAATCCTCTTTTATCAGCAGTGGCGCTCATTTCATTTAGAGGTCGCTACGGTGGCGTAAGCTAGCGATAACAGTTCTCAGCGTCTCCACCGGATCCCTCCTACCTGCTGCTTGATCCTTTTGCGTTCGTGATTCCTCACTGTGAATGTTCCCGATGCTCTCATCCCCCCAACTCAAGAGCGCCTAGTAGTTACATGGGTTAACACAACCTTTGCTATGCTGTCTCTTCAGTTGTTACTCATTTTTTAGAATTTGTCTTGCTGACGCTTCTTTCGCTCCTGGAATTCTCCTAATGAAGCTAGCTAACGTGATCGTTCATAAGTCGATCCTAGCTTTTTTCCTATTCATCCGGCTGCTACATGGCTTTGTTCAACTTTCCCTGTTCTTCAGACCTCTACCGCAGGGATCCATTACGCAACTTTTGATTCGAGTACCACTTATTTGGGGTCCCAGTTCGTTTAGTCGATCGACTTATCTCGAACCTTCCCCATGGATGATTCCGATCACGGGCCGTCCCTGATGTAAATCACATGTTTTTGAACTGATGCTAGCTTCAACGGAGCAAGGTGCGTAGAACTTTACAATAGGGGGTATTCGACCGCGGAGAATTTGTCAGGAACCCCTCTCGCACGGGCCGCCCATTGACCTGCCTCCGCTCACTTCAAGTTTGCTTTGTACAACGCTTCTGTTATTCTTCTGCACCACTTTTTCGGCCTTCGTAGTTTTTCCTACAGCTGAGTTGTGAAGTTTTTGGAGTAAGTACGGTCAATCTTTTCGCCCACTGAGGCCTACCTAATTACGATCTGGCAACACGACGCACACCTTTACCCATTTTCCCGTAGCTCTGGAATGCTCTGAAACCTTATTAGGATTTTTCTTCGGCGTCGTTCAGTTCCACATGCCTCGTCCACCCTGTGCGGTTCTACACGTAGCTGATGTCTGTTCCGTACATCTTGCCCTACGCCTCACCTCCTTCACTTTTGATATTGGTGTATTGGTCTCCTGCACCTGATCTCACGAGTTCTTTGTAATTCTGATTTTGGGCAAGACATTACGAAACGAATTCTCGCGTGAATGCAGCCTGGTCGAAATGGCGCTCGATGACTGGCGTTCTCTGCGATAAAAACATGCCAGAACGTCTCAAATCTAAGATCTATAGGACCGTCATCCGGCCGGTCGCGATTTACGGTGCTGAGTGCTGGCCTACGACTAAAGAGATCGAAGCACGGCTCAGTGTGATGGAGACCAAGATGCTGCGATGGACAGCCGGAGTCACACGAGTAGACCACATTCGAAACGATGTCATCAGAGAGCGATTCGGGGTGGCTCCAATTGTCGACAAGATGCGCGAAGCCCGTCTCGATGGTATGGTCATGTCCTTCGCGCGAAAGATGACAGTGTCTGTAAGATCGGTCTCAACCTTGACGTGCCCCGGAAAGCGCTTTTAGTGGACGCCGAAGGCCGCGGTGCTCGGTAAAACTTCGCACGAAACGGTTTAATATCCACCCGATCAAGCATTAATCCGGGAAACGTGCGTCAACTATGTAAAAAGCGACGCTGCTCACAACGGGCCAGATTCCAAAACGAATAAGAAGTGAAGAACGAACAATGCTGCTGCCCTAACATGTGAGTGGAGCGTGCATCGCCAAACGTGCACGAGGCAAGTCAGCGTATGTGCAGATTTCTCGAAGTGCCCTCCACACCACCAGCCTTGCAGGGGTGCTCAGTACGACCTACCGTCTCCACCGAGGCTTTTTCTGGGTATTCAATTCTAAACCAGTCGACACACCAGCTCCAGCCCAAATTTCCTTCAAACTGGCGTTGATCGGGAAAGGGAATGAATATGGTCGAATAACAGCAAGCACTCTTTTGCTTATTTCGTGACTCATCCGTGAAAATCTCGCCAAAATGCAAAAACTTCAAAAACGACCGTCCTCCTTCCTTCACAACATGACCCCTTAACCTCCACCACCACGATCTCTCCTGAGAATTCCAGAAACAATAGCCATGTTCGTCAACTGAGCAACCGTGGATGCGCATTTTGCGAATAAACCACTGGCCAAGTCACCCCCGTCCCTCTCTTCCCAGCGGCTGGTTCTAAAACTTCAGAGAGATGGCCGCTTTTGCGGCTACGCATGGGAAAGGGTGCTACTGGCTCAGAACTCATCATGGCCACCTCAAGCAACCACGCAAGCACGTCGTTGCGGTATCTGCCGTCTCGTTGTCCGCTATGCTCTGTCGTCTTCGTCTGCCGTTCTCTCGCGTCGGCGTTCTGTGTTTCTTTAATTGTTTATCTCCCGCACTATCCACCGCAGAGAAAACGGCAGACCATTTGGCATTTTCAATAAATTCTTTTCCTTCTTTTTTCACTGGCAAACAATAAGCACCTACTGTTTCACAGGAGAATTCAAAATTTACTCTTTCTTTACAACATGGACTGTGCCTTTAGGCTCCTTTATATTGCAGGAACAAAGCTATCCAGTGCAAGCAGAAAGCCATGATAAAACTGCAGCATTTGCTGAAACGATGCGAACGCTAGATGGAAATGTTGAAAATTCAATGGTACGAATAATAGTTCGAATTCTGTAGCTTGATTCTGATTATTGCCGCTGATGGATACATTTTTGAGGTATCCGTGGATCGTCGAAGTAGCACTACAATTTGTTCTTATAATGAGTCCCTTAACGAGGCGAATATAACAAGAAGAGATGTTTCCATCATGGTCAGCTGTCGATTCTACATGAATTCATTTTTTTTTTCAAGTAGAGTTACAAAATCTGAAAATGAATTTATTTTAGCAAATAGGAAGCAGATTTCGGCCATCCACTTCATCACGTGACGATACGATCTTGTCGCTTCGATCATTACGTGATGAAACTATTTGTCTGAGTGAAAGGATAATGTTTGATTCGCAATCGCTGCAGGTCTAAATTTTTCCTAAATATTTCTATATTTATAGCGAACCACATCTATAGCTTTGTTTATTATTTATTTTC